TTGGTTCTGAATTGATAACCCCTTTTCCCTTTACCCCTCCGACACGGCCTCAGGAACATCGCGGCAGCTTTTTTTGCTTCCTGCCATCATCGTCATCACCATTATCGTCAGCATCATCAGCATCGGATTTTTACCGTGTCTCCTCCTCGCCCACCCCACCCCACCCCACCTGCCCAACCATTCTCCCCCCCCTTCCCCCTCACCACATCCGGCACCCAGGGTTTGTCAAGTTGTCCGTACATGTCAATGACCTGGGTCCACAACCGCTCCTCCTCCTCCACGGTGGCGGCGTTGAGGGCCTTTTGAAGCAGAGCGGCGGCCTCGCGGAGGTCGGGGTCCTGCACACGCGGGTGTGTGTGTGTATGTGTATGTGGGAGGGGAGAGGGAGGGGGGGAGGGGAAAAGATGGGAGTTAGGGGGGTGGGTGGGGGAGGGGAAAAGATGCGGGAGGAGATGACTGGGGACGAGCGGGAAGGGGGAGGCGATCGTGATGGATGTCAGCCCTGCCAGAAAGCGCCAATGTGGAGGGGGGCGGGGAGGTGTGGAGGAGGACATGGCACATAACAATCCGGAGATGTGAGCAATACACAGATGTCGTATCTGTTTTATTCCTTATCATCCTCAGCTGTTACATCGTGATGATGCTGATACATGACAGCAAAGTAAAACCGCCACTTGGCAGCGATGCCACCTGACCAAACCTCATCCAACAGCCCCCAGTCAATGATCGAAGCTACTAGCCGAAATCCTCTAAACCGAAATCCTCTAAACCGAAATCCCCTAAACCGAAATCCTCTAAACCGAAATCCCCTAAACCGAAATCCTCTAAACCGAAATCCCCTAAACCGAAATCCTCTAAACCGAAGTCCCCTAAACCGAAATCCCCGATATTTATTTTGGACCAGTGGCCGACAGTGACACTTTAGCTCGAACCACCGGGCGGTCCAGGCCCGGTGGATTACGAGATAGACACGTAAAGAAAGCAAGTGCGCCCAGCCAGGGGGTAGTGAGGGTGGGAACGAAAAGGACAACCCCAGGTGACAACACGTGTACGGCGAATAGCCAGAAGAGGATTGTGACCAGAGCAAATAGGACACAACAGTACGAGACAGAGATCGTACGACAGAGTCACTGTTTACACCTGATCATCTCACCCAAGAACCAGTCTTCTCACAAATGAAAAGCCAGCGTATGAAGTGGGGTGGCAAGGGGTCAGGGGGGTCATATATCTTCACCCTGCGGCAGCTACCCTGCGAAACCCTGCCTTCCCCGGTATTTCGGGGCACCCTCATCCAGTCACCCCCTAGTCAACTTCTCAGTGGATCGCTCAGGTTCCGCACCCACCACCAGCATCCAACGGAATCTGCCGGATCAACAGCGGCCCAACTCCATTCCTGGTCAGCTCGCAAGTCAACTTTATCCCAGGTCACCACCGTCCATCGACTAGAGGCACTTTACCTTCCACCATCGGAAGGATTTTCGACCCTGACAGGTCTCGATCCCGGGATCTCCCCGGGGCAATGGTCCGTGCTCTACCAGTAGTGCCTGACCTGCGTATGTATGTATGTATTTGCCATCCACCACACCCGCTCACCCACCGTGGGGTCGTACTTGGACTGGTCGGGAGCCTTACCGGGCTCGATCACCGGGCGAGGGAGAGGCACAGGACCTGCACAACATCCGTCCGTACGAATGTACGACAAGGCAATCCTTCAGTTTCCATGCCTTTCCACTCTGCCTATATCCATACATACAGAATTACGGGCGTGAAGGGAAATGAGTGTCAGGGATTCCTTAAATTTGTGGCAGGAGGATGGTCAACGGTGTTTGGCCACCACCGGCCGTACAGCGCTAGAAACTGTACTCGAAATATGCTGGTGAGAGGCTTGGTGGTGGCTTGTTGAATCCAATCCTGGATTCTTGTCAGTCGGTACAGCGCGGTGCCGTACAGTACGGCGATAAATAACCCGGCCTCCGGCCTGGACTCTTGACGATGCGCTGAGCCATGCTTCCAACGCATCGTGCCGTACCGTACCGTACCATGTACGTCGGGTTGATTTATCAAACCCCCAAGCCCGTGGGTAAGGGCGACATCGTCAGGTCAACCTCCTTCGAGGTTCGTTACGGTGTAACGCCTACGTCCTTTTTCTGTTGACAACTAAAGTCTTCTCAGGTCTAAACATGCCCTCTGAGCCCTCTCATGCATATACGGGTTGCCGTACATGCACAGAACTCAGATCCAAGAGGCCCACCCGGAAACCCTAAGGTATTAGACTTTTCGGGCATTTCCCCCCCATCCAATTCCACCCCACTCCAATCACAGCTCCTCTTCCCTTTCCCTTTCCCCCCGTTCCCCTCCGGCATCTCCATTCTGCCATACAGCGAAAGGGAAGGTGGGGTAGGCAAGATAACCATGGCCACTGGTCATGGAGGGCGAATAGGGCTTGCCGGGACCCGCCAACTAGGGTTTGGTTACCGCGTACGCGGCGTCGCTTGTATGCGTAAGCATGAGGGGAGAGAGAGGGGGAGGTCGGAAAACGCACCCGCATCGGTATCGGTGGCAAAGGCCGCTGCCGCTGGGAGGTAGGGAAGGAGAGCTAGAAGCACACCGCGCCGGTTGGGAGCGATGCGTTGCAGCTCGGGCTGCGGATGGCCTTGCTGGGCCAGACAGCTGACAATGCGCGTCCGACCTGTGGATATGCTTGCTGGAAGCGAAGGTGTGAGATTGCCTGAGCTTCGTCTACATGAGCTGATCTTATTGAGAGTTTGAAGCTGTAGCGTGTTCATAGCAAATACAAAAGCTTGGAAATTAAGTGGACTGGAGCTTGCAGGAGAATGGGGACGAGCAGAAACGATGGGTGGCCGCTCTAGATTGAAGTGACAGTTGAGGATAACCGCGTTGAATTCCTGCCGAGCTGGAGCAACGAAAATCGCTTCCAGTCGATTGTTTCCCAGAACACGTTGGCTCCGAGACCGAGCTCGTTTCAATTTTTGCCGTGTTCTGTCGATGAAGAAGATACTCGTAGGTTAAAAATTACATACGATTGCTTCAAATCTCGTGTATGTGCACAGATGCTTTGCGCTGACTCTGGCTGCTTTCCGCGCCATGGGAATCCTTGCACATAGATAAAACCTTAAGCGCAAGAACTATGCGCATGAAATCCTCCCATTCACCTGCTTTGCGTTTGGAAGTGTTTGGTGTGCTTTGCTGTATGGCTCAGCTCTCATCAACCATAGAACCACGGGACGAGGCTGGAATAGAAGCTATTTTTAAAGTCCGGCTTGCATCTAATTCCCGAGTCCTAAGATGCCTTTGTGGACGCTCAGGGAACAGTCTTTTGAGCTAATCACTAACGCCTTATTATCCAACCGCTTTTCACTGACCATTCAGGACTCCTTCAGTGAACACATTCATCTGAAGGGGGGCACACGCCGTGTACATCCTGAAGGGGGGCACACGCCTTTACCCTAAGTCACATGACGTGCCGTGACACGAGCAAGAACGACGACGACGACAAGAACAAGTTTAAATGCTTTCCTCAGACCATCGCTAGCTACGTCCCCACAGCTGGCTGGCAAACTCCACGCATGTCATGGGGGCTGGGCCCAGTCACACAGCAGACACACACACCATGATTCACCGGGAAACTAAAGAAGCAAAATTCCTGCACGCACTACCGTACTATCGGACTATACGCACTACCGTGCCACTGTACGGACTATCGGCGCATCACCTCTTAATAGTCCCATCTCTAGTGGTCAAAAAGATCTTATTCGCTTGATCAGCTTAGGGTTGCTTACTGCATCAACGTATCCGAACCACGCAAGCGTATATCATTGTTAACTATGTATCGCCAACAGAGCAAGGGGCTAAACCACCAGCCTCGACAACCTGATCAGCCAAATGGTCCATGCTGTTGCTGCTGCTGCTGCACAAGTCGCAAATCAGCGGCCCGGCATAGGCCACCAAGATGCACATGCATACTCCCACCCGCACAACCCATCACATCACATCACATCGCCTGTGTGCCCACCATTCACCTTTCCTCCTCCCGAGCCCCCGAGAAATTCCGTTCTGGCTCATCGGCAAGTCATTCTGTCGAAAAGACTGACAATTCCACTGGCAAGAAATTGCCAGTGAGCATGCACAGCGACATCCAAGCAACGAAGGAAAGACAGCTTCGCCGAACCGTACATGTACGAACAGTAATCAAACCATGCAATTTAAAAGCACGCAGCGCACATAGACATCTGTGCACGTGTGTGCACGTACACGGTCTTGCTGCGGTGCTTCTGAACAAACGCGGGTGAGTGGGTCAGTGTTTGTGCGCACCAACTTATCCCTAAGTACATGACGGTGTTTTCAGTGTCATTCATCATCATCATCATCATCATCATCATCACGCACCCGCAATATGTCAACCATCCCCCCCCTGGCTGCATGATCCATCGTCGAGATGCATTTTCCCGCCCGCCCGCCCGCCCGCCAGCTCCCTGAATCTCCCCGCAGTCAGGTCACCAGATCGAATCCCCTTGGGTGAAAACAAAAGACGAACGAAAACCTTCCCGTCTTTTACTTTGTGCACAAGTTCTCGACCAGATATGTATATATGTCGCTTTTCCTTTAACGCTGCTCAATGCCGGAAGTGCCGCACGCCCGTGGTTAGCAGTACGACGCCGTACTTGTTGCAGCAGTCAATGGCGTCCTGGTCCCGGAGCGAGCCGCCCGGATGCACGATGGCCTTGACACCGGCCTTACACGCGATCTCCACGCTGTCACCCCACGAGAAGGGGAAGAACGCGTCGGATGCCAACACGGCGCCCTGAGGTTTGGGATGGAGATGTGCATGGGGTTGGGGGGGAGGGGGGGGGAGGGATGGGGGGAAGGGGGGAAGGACGAACCACAAACGAGTGAAGCTGCTGCCAGGGCAAGAGTGCAAGGGGGAGGGGGGAAGGGTGCGGGGGAAGGGAAACAATATGGGCACCAAGTCAACAGGAAACCACCGGAGTTGCTAGACAGGAGGAGGAGGTTGCGATGGTTGGTTGTTAGAGAACTATTAGGAGGTTGCGATGGTTGGTTGTTAGAGAACTATTGAGAGAGATGGTGTTAGAGAACTATTGAGAGAGATGGTGTTAGAGAACTATTGAGAGAGATGGTGTTAGAGAACTATTGAGAGAGATGGTGTTAGAGAACTATTGAGAGAGATGGTGTTAGAGAACTATTGGAGAACTGTATCTTGGAATGTAATACATTCCCTACCTCACTACCTCACTCTTACCTCCTCCTCCCCTCCTCTTAACCCTCAAACGACCCCCTCCGTTAGCCGCCCCAGCCCCCACGTAACCTAATCGGCACCGGTACACTACCCCCAGTAGCAATAACAGCGACGGCGACAATACACACGCCACCTTCTCCTCCTCCCCCATTTGCGGCTCCTTCCAGTGCCTCACCTGCACCTCCCCAGCCGCCTTCTCGATGGCAATGCGCACGGAGTTGACACGGTTCGGCTGGCCCGAGCCCATGCCTAGCAACCGGCCGTCCTTGGCAATGGTAATTGCATTGGACTTGACGTGCTTCACCGCCCTGTTAAAAAGAGGAGGGATCGGGGGAAAGACGAATCGCGAACGAGTGAAGTTGAGATCGGGGGGGGAGGTGGAGGCCGGGGGCGGGAGGCCGGGCGGAAATCACCGTATGGAGGATATAAGAGAGGGGGAAGGAGAGGGGGAAAGAGGGAGGGCGAGAAAAAGAGAGAAAAGAGAGAGAGAGAGAGAGAGAGAGAGAGAGAGAGACAAAGCGGCCATGTAACGGCTGTTCTGACCAATGTTTTGGACTGACCAACACACGCTGGGGAGGGGGAGGGACGAACATACAGATTCAGATACAGATTCAGATACATACATACGTACCTCCAGGCGAATTTTAAATCCTCTAGCTGCTGAGAAGTGGGCTGCGCCTCCGACACGCACTTGAAGGAGATGCCCTCCGGCGACAGGGAATCCGCGTCCTGCCACAACCAGCCGCCCGCCACCTGACGGAGAGACAGACCCGAGGGGGCGCGGGGCTTGGCCTCCAGGATACGCAGGTTCTTAGACTTGCCCTTGAGCACCTCCAAGCCCTCCGGGGTGTAGCCCGGCGCGATGACGATTTCGTAAAACATCTTGGTCTCGTTGTCCTGGGGCGACCTGTGGTGTGAGAAGATGTGAAGTGACATGTGAGAAGTGAAGTGAGAAGTGATGCAAACAAGTGAAATGTGGTGTGAGTAGTGTAAGGTAAACGGGCTGGGTGGCTCCCAACGAACTAACCGCCTCACCTAAACTCCCGAATCTCCCGGGCCAGGTCCGCGTCCACAGCCCGGTTGAATGCCACAATACCCCCGAAGGCGGAGATGGGGTCCGCCCTCACGGACAGGCGGTACGCCTCCCGAAGATCCCCCCGGGAGGCGATGCCGCAGGGGTTGGTGTGCTTCACGATCACACACGTCGGCTCTGAGTAGTCGCAGCAGCACTGGTAAGCCGCGTCGGCGTCCTGCGGCGAGGAGGTGGCGAAGGGGGGGGTGGCGGCGAGGTGGCGGCGGCGGTGAAGAATAAAAAGATCAAAATGCGTGAGAGCGGGCGAGCCGTGAATTTCTAGTAATAACTCTTTGCCGAATGCTTCCACCGATATAAAAAATTTCCACGGCTAGGTGCTCGTCCGACCTGAAAACCTGAAACCGGCCCCAAACAGCACATCGTAATAACTTGCTCCGCAACATATCCCAGCAGCCAATCAATATTATTACTTACCGAAAGTCACCCCTAGATGATAAACTTTGCATAGTAGTTTTTACGAGTGATGTAAACAAACGTCACTGTACCTGAAACCCCCCCCGTCATTCGCGCCCACTCACCAGGTAGTTGTTGTACGACATTTCCTTGCCCCAGTGTACGACACTGGTGGCCACGCCTCCCGCGTTGTACTCACGCAGGGAGGAGTCTGTGTAGAAGGCGGCGGCCTGGTGCGGGTTTTCGCCGTACCGTAACGCCTGCGCCAGCTGCAGCGGTACGGTCATCTGGGGGGCCGGACCCGACCCTACCTGACTCCACAACCACTCCGAAACCTGGGCGTCGTACGACGAGCAGTGCTGTCGTACAATACACACCGAACGGGACATCGGTCAAAAAGAGCAACAGCCGCAGCGGCAGCAGAGGGTTAGTCCACGTATATGAATGCCACAGACAGACAGGCAGACAGACATGCACGAGCACATACACACACCATTCCCCCCGAGCCCACCCCTCCACTCGCACACACACACCCATCCTTCCCCCCACCTCCCAACACTCCCGCATCACATCACCGCCTTCCACCCCCCGCTGAGGAACAACCCCTCCCGGCCCCTCCCACTCGCCAAACAAGCAACCCCCGCCCCCATGACCCCGCACCCGCACCCAACCCCACATCCGTACCTGAAACGCCTTCCAGGCCAGCTTCTTCCTGAGATCAGAGAGCGCCGCCTCCGCCCCCTCCGCGCCGGCCTGACGCCCCCTCAAGGCCTCCAGCAGCTGCGGATAGTCCGCGGGGTCCACCACCACGGCCACGTGCGCCATGTTCTTAGCGGCAGCTCGGATCATGGCGGGGCCGCCGATGTCGATGTTCTCCACGCCAACTTCGAACGGCGGTGCGGGGTCGGAGGTGACAGTTTTGCGGAAGGGGTACAGGTTCACAATGACCTGCGAGTGCGAGTGCGCGCGTGTGTGTGGAGGGGTGTATATGGGTGGGAGGTGGGGTGGGGATGGGGTGTGTGTTTGTGTCTGTGTGCGTGTGTGTGTGTGGGGGGGGTAGGCATGTGTGTATGAGTGCGAGTGGGTGTCATGGATTATATGCGGGGCAGGTTTTTGAATGGCTCTCGGGCTCCTCATTGCACGCGATCAACCATCCATCCGTACATCCAAGAAGAAATCCAAACACACAGACATACAAACAGACAGACATGTGTGCATGCATCCAAAGGGAGCGGGGCCGACTACGCTGCCGTCCGAACAGAAACCCTAAGTAAACCCACGCTCCCTCCTTTCATCTCCCAATGCTCTCTCTTCCATGCCGACACACATATCCCAAACACACACAAATATGTGCCGTACGTACGGCAATCCCGCCGCCCGGGGAATCCTCTCAGATGCCAAGTTCCTGCGCCGGACTCGGCACGAATACCGCCCTTCCAACCCCCCGATCCACATACATACATAAACACATCCTCGAACCCGGCCCGCCACTTCTCCTCTCTCGCCACCAAACACATCTTCCCGGCATTCCCCCTCAGCCCCCACACACCGGCATCACATCCCCAGCCCCCCGTACTCCCTCCCATAAGGCCCTCCTTGACCTCTCCCCCCCCGGGGATACCGGTGCGGCACCCACCAGATCAATGGTTCCAATGTTGTGTTGGGCAATAGCGGCCATGTGCTCGGGCTTGTCACGAACGGCCAGGATGCCGCCGTGTACGGCAGGGTGCAGCGTCTTTACGCGGCCTAAGTTGGCGGGGGTGTAGACGGGGGAAGGGCGCGGGATCGGGAGTACTTGGGGAGGATGGGGAAGGAGAGAAATGATGAGAGGAACAACTGGACGAGAGGAACGACTGGACGGGGAAAAGGAAGTGGGAAGAGAAATAAGCTCTCCGCTGTAAGAGGGATGGTGGCAGGCAAGGCAGCTCCGTGCGCCTTTGACAGTCATAGCGGTCATAAGGAGCCTGTTTTTGAAGTATGACGGAGCGGGAAGAATGTTCTTTCGTATTCTCAAGTGGATTTCGTATTCTCAACGGATCAGGATCACGGAGAAATTATTAAGGAGAAACGTCATTTTGGAAGACCCACCGTCGAGCATCTCCGGAAAGCCGGTAACATCCTCCACCTTGGCGCATGGCACACCGGCATTCTGGATAGCGGTTGCAGTCCCACCAGTAGAGATAATCTCGATGCCCAGCTCTGCCAGGCCCTACACGGTATCGAGGCTGCTTGTCGAGCCTGAATCGACGGCATCATCCCACCTTGCAGACTTACCTTCACGAGCATGTCCAAATTGGTTTTGTCCGAAAGCGAAATAAGTGCCCTAGGCTTCCCTGTCATCGCTGCGAAAAGAAAAGGACGATAGGAAAGGCTTTCATCCCGACACAATTTGCCAATTAGCCTAGTTTTCTTACCCTTGCTTGGCATAGAGCTCGGCGCAGGTGCAGGCGGTGCCGCGGTGGCCTTTAGCTGCTGGCGAGCAGCCCGGCTGTGGAATTCGCGCGAGAGCGTTAGGGAAGTTTTGAGTCGGCTGTCGGCCGAGTGGCGGCGACTTACCCGACAAGCAACAGTGCCGAAGAGTCGGCAACAATGGGACGACCTGCCAGGAGAGGTTTGGCTGAAATACGGGGTTGGATCGCGACAGCGGAAGCGACTTGCTGGTCTCCGCGCGCAGCGACCGACTTCTGTACACGCTGCATGCAGGCCATTTGTATGCCGTTGTTGTAGCGTTACCTGGTTCAACAACCTAAAATTAAGCGCAGGTAATGGAGACCAAAAGAAAACAACCTCTGCATTTGAAGTGTCCCCAGCGGCGTTTCACGCCGAGCGCACCTTCACGACTTGCCGTACAATGCGTGCAGAGAGCTGTCCTGCGGTGCACCTGAAGTTGGCAGATTGATAAAGGGGAACGCTATCGAACGTAGCAACAGCAATATCAGGCAGGCAGGTCCTGGTCGGCCCAGCTGCTTATCGCTTACGAGGTACTTGTTTACACTTTGCCTGTAATACCTGTGACGAAATATAAGTGCGTTGCATAACCTCCATAGTAAGCTGAAAAACTAAGGAACGTGACCTCAGGTAAATTGTTCGTCTACACATTTCAGTACATGCCTTGCGCAAGATGTAGTGCACGCCGCGCGCATGTGCTTGTCCAAACAATTATCAAAACATAGATGGAAAACATCGCGCATGGAGGTCATGCAGGTGGATGGCCCAGGCACCAGGAGGGCAGGATGCATACATCCTTTCGCTCACATAACTCTGCAGTCTGGAGAGTTTAGGTCCCTCGGAATGTGTTAAACTCTGTGCTTGGGCATAAAACAGAGGCTTTCAGGCTGAATTAAGGCTACCTCTGCTATGTATGTACGATAGACTCCATCCATGCCCCACTATACCTGTAACGAGCATGAGCCGTTACACCATCTCGCTTTCCTATCCGCCTCGGGGTTCGCCTTGGGATCTGCCTTGGTATTCACCTCGGTAGTCACAACGAATCTGTGCGCTTTGTCGTACTTCCGTCAGTTAGCGGACGTTAAGACGGCTCACAACCCATCAATCGGGGTCTTTCGGTCCCACCGCATTAGCTACACTACCTACCTGCTTTCCACCTCGGGAAGCAGCGGGTTTGCTTCTGTTCAGAAGAAGAGACTTTGGGGATGACTTCATCGTGTTTGCTTACAGAGCTCCAAAACAACCGAAAGGCAGGCCAATCCTGCCATCGCGGCTGCACGTGCGTCGTGCGGTTTCACGATCGGGTGAGGCCAAACGAAATGATGCCGCCAGCAACGAAGCAGCCCATGGGTTGTGTGGGGATGGGAGGATGAGGATGAGGATGGGGATGGAAATGCTAGCTAGCTAGCTAGGCGCACACGGCCTGCCTACATTCCCTCAGCTCAGATTATTAAAAGAACTCCTGCATTTATCCCCCCCCCCCCCGCGCCCCAAAACCCAACAGTCTATTCAGGCCCACAGCCACTAACGAGCCTACTGCATTCACTCTCTACTGCAAATGTCTGTTTAGCATCCAATCGTACATCCAGCAGTCATGCAAAAGCAGTTCTAAGAAATGAAATATGGTTCAAACATGTGTGCATCTGGCATCGGTAATATGGTGTGAACTGCGTCCGGGAGCTAGCTAGATTGACTTGCGAGTGCTACACAGGGGAAGAGGACAGGATGTTCAGCCAGAGGTTCGGCCTGAACGATGCGAGGGGTCCGTACTATCTACAGTACTGTAACCCTTGTACTGCAGAAGTACTATTGTACCGTACTGTTCAGTTGGTACTGAGACAGTGTAGGAAAATTTTAAGTTGCCACGGCGATGTCCATGCATCTCATCTGAGCCTTGAAAGATCAGCGAAAAAGCCGTACAACCTTTTCAAGACGGTCCAACTTCTACCAAAGCAATACACGGAATGCCGAATAGCACGAACATATCTTGAAGGTTTGACGTCGACATGGGCGCTAGTTGGAGTCAATCAGGCTCTTGGCAGGAAGCAGTCACGAAGGTCCGTTGTTGATGCATGAGCTTGACTGTTTCCTGACTTTATACTCGAAAGGAGCCAGGACTGTATTATTTCAACATTAGACTGTGTGATTTAGCCTGCGATAATGCGTCACAATTAGCAAACGAGGTTAACAGTTCAAATTTCGGACAGGATGAGGTCCGAGATGCGGTTCGGGGATTTGAGGCATGGCAGAAGGCGCAGGAGGACTTGAAGGGATCCTTGTCAGTCCAGGTAAGTACTTCCAGTCCCTTTTTTTCCCGCGCTCGGGCCAAAGCTCCGAAAACACTCACTTATCTGGAGCTCGCTCTTCCAGCTCCCCTGTCTCCGTGTTCAGCTGCGTAAGGGCATGGGCGCGATGGGCAACGGATTAACCATCGCGAAAGCATAACATAACAGGCGTGCAGGAATCCATCAGAGTCACTCTGCCTTCCTCTTACGTGTTGCAGCCGTGATGACTTCCATCTATCCTGCTGCCCTCCTGCGGTACACCCCCCCTCTCCCCCAACCCCCGCAGCGCTCTGCCCCCTCTACGGGCCCACTACTGGACCGCGTCGGCGGTCCCGATGCCGTTAAGAGGATGGTAGAGATCTTTTGCCGCAAGCTGTATGATGATGAACAGGTGGGCCCAAAGCACTGCCTTTTGGGCGACCATACCTCATGAATACGGCAGCCAAACGGAACAATGTTTTTCATGTGCGCGGTGTGGAGATGGGTCTCGTGCGATTCTGCAGGTTTGCTTGGGATTTGAGTCCGTTGCGAAGGTTTCGCGATTTGGGACGGCGGATGTGTTGGCTGCTGGCATAGCGTCAGCATAGTCAGGACTTTTAACGGAAATGTGTCGCTCCTGCACACAAACACATAGATACATACATACGTACGTACGCACATACAGTCTCCACAATGGCCTCCGGGCCCCCCCCGGGGTTTGGGGGCCAGGGTTGTCGGGACCCGCCTCCTCGTACGTCCTCTCCTGCCCATTGCCGTTCATCCACCCGGATCTCCTCCTCCTTATCTCCCCGCCCTGCCCCACCCTACACTCTTCCCCCCTCCATCCTTCCCTGTCAACACCAGCTGTCTGTCTACCTGGAGCGCACCGATATGACGTCACTGAGAGCAAAGCAGGTAAGAGGGCAGGGGGAGGTGGGGGGAAGGATGAGGATGGGGAAGGGGGCCAAAATAAACCCTTGATCCCTAAGGGTCAGCGAGCGCTGTGTTCGCCCGCTGTGCGTGTATGTATGTATGCATGTATGTACGGTATGCAAGTTGAAGTTATGCATTTCCAGATACACACGCACACCAACCCACGTCCTCTCCACAACGCCATCCGTACGCCCCCCTTCCCTCCCCCCTTGCGTCTTTATCCGTACGCCCTCCCTGGGCCCCGCCTGGGCCGCCAGTCCACCTTCCTGACCTGGTTGCTCGGACCCCGGGACAGACCCAACCCCAGCGCCCACGTGCGGACCGCCCACCTGCGGCTGATCAAGCAGCGGGGCTTCGGCACCGAGCACTTCGAATTGGGACTGACACATTTCGAGGCGGCGCTGCGGGAATACGGACTGAGCGAAGTGCGTGTGTCTGTCTGTCTGTATGTGTGTGCATATGTATGTATGTATGTACAAGTGGTTAAACTTGTGAACCGCAAACCCTAAGAAAGGGTTGAAGGGGAGGGAGGGCGCGGAGTCCGCGGAATATGTGGCTGAGGGGCATATACCCCTACCGGGGGGTATAGGGCGGATGGGAGCAGACGGCAGTTTGAAGAGGATTGAGGGGACGGGAGGCGTGTGTGTGTGTGTGTTTTGAAGTGGACGGAACGTCTTCTTAGTATGCGCACTTCGCATCAGAGATTAGTTGACGGGGATGGGACCACTGAGTGATCTGAACAGCCCTCATACCGGAGGTGGGGGATATTTCCACCGGGGGCAGGTGGGGGGGGGGGGAAGACGAACCACACACGAGTGAAGCTGCTGCCAGGGCAAGAGTGTATCAAACGTAGAGCTGACCGAAAGGCGTCCGTGGAGACCGCGACCTCGGGGCAGGGGGGGAACCTATCACACCACCGCGATCCTTCCTGGCTCGCCAACCGACAGCAACCGACAGCAACAGACAACAACCGACAGATTACATCTATTTATCCACCACTGCTTCACACGGCCAATCTGCACCAGTCCCCACACTCTTTACTAAAGGGGTATACAGCGGTTGTACATTGTCGTATACGTGTTGTGTATCCTTGCCGTACAGGCGCTGGTGAAGGAGGTTATGGTGAAGATCCGGCCGTACAAGGTGGGCGAGGGAGGGAACCTATCACAGCAGCTCGGGAAACCGCCGCTGCGGGGCCCTGGGCTGTGTGTGTGTTTGTGTGTGTGGGGGGGGGGCGGGGGGAGGGGATGCAATCGTGAGAGGAGAGGGAGTAAACCATAATTACTTTAGAAACAAAAAGGCAGGCTGTGTTTATATGCTCTAATGCGCTAAAACAGGGGAGCAGTAGAGAGGAGGGGCGCGAAAGGCAACAGCGGGATGGTGAGGGAGAGCAAACGTAACGAAGTTCCCCCCAGCGGGAGGGGGGAGGGGGGAGATTGTCGGTGGAGATAATGTCCTGTTAGGCGTGCCCTGATGGCCTGGCCTGGCCTGTAAGAAGGAAACCCAAACACATAGCTACCATCACCACACATCTTGGAGCGCAGCTCGGGATATGCGGCGCGCGTTACCTTCGATGATGAGGTGGAGGGGAGGCGACCCCGTGGGTTTGTTCGCAGGACCTGACATTCACCCCCCTTGCACGAGATGCCGAGGACCAGCGGCGCTGGGAGCTGCTTGAGAAACTCAAGCGCCCACACACAGTAGCGGCGGTGGTGGCGGCGGGGGCGGCGCCGCAGGAGGCGTTACTGCCGCCAAGAGCTCATCCAGCTCCGCCGACTTCATCATCACCGCTGCCGCCGCCGCCACCATCGCAACAACAGCAGCAGCAGCAACAACAACAACAACAACGATTATCGCCGGCGCGATCACCGCCGGCGCCTCATCATCCTCATCAGCGGCGGAAGCAGGGACAGCCTCCGCTGCAGCTGCTTGTACCTCCGCCACCGACACAACAGCCGCCATCGCCACCGCCGTACGACGTCTTTCCTCAAGAGGCCAAAATAACCGATACTAGAGGAGAAGATGAAGGAGAGGGGGAGGGGGATGTAGCTGTACAGTCCAGCCATCCGCAAACTCCCTCCACCAACCCGGCTACAGCTTCAGTCGCCACCGCCGCCACCAGCCCCGTCTCCACAATCGCATCGGTTCCACTGCATTACGCGGCGTCTGACAGCGGTACTGACGGCGGCGCCGCCAGTTCTTCCGCCGCCAGCACCGCTGCCGCCGCCGCCGCCGTCACTGCCGCATTCCGGCAACCTCTCCCTGCGTCGTGGAGCTCTTGGGAAATCGCCGCCAGCTCCGCCGCCGGGCCGCACGTCTCCGGGAGTGTTGGCGCTGGCGGCGACAGCCGTACTGCTGGGACAGCATTCCATCTTGGAGGCAATGGCGGCGGCGGTGGCGGGGACGGAGGTCCCGGCAGGCCTCAACGTCCCTTCACAGGCGCACGGCTCTCACATCCCCCTACCAGCGGCTCTGAGATGCCGGCGGCAGTGCCCGCGGAGGCCGCTAGGTTAGCACCGCTGACGGTGCTGCCGCCGCCGCCATCACCGCCCCCGCTGCGGCTCCTGTCGTCGGGGCCGACGCCGTCGCCGCCGGGCGGCGGCAGCGGCGACCACTCCGTCTCCAAAGACGCCACCGACGCCCCAACGCCGCACGCATCGATGTCTTGGCCTGCACTGCCGCCGCTGCCGTTGGCGCTACCGCCGCCGCCGCCGCTGGCACCTTTGGCGCTACCGCCGCCGTCCTCTCGGTCATCCACCACACCCGCCGCCGCCTCCGGCAACGCCACTCCTTCTCGTCGGTCCTTAGGCTATGAGGGAAGCGGNGGCAGGTAGGGAGGGATACANGATGGNGTGTTTTTGGATCACTTTCCCGAGTGGGGCCCCCTCCTCTCCAACACCGTACCACGACTTTCCGGAGTGGGGTCGTGTCCTGTACGTACGTCCAAGCGAGGTACGACACAGGATGTCAGGATGTAGAGAAGTGGTGTATCTGCACAGCGGGTGGAGGGTGTTTCAAGGGGGGGCCTTTATTCGTCTGCTCTGAGAGGGAAACCGCTGGTGGGGAGGGCGGGTGGGGGGTAGGTGGGGAGGCGGAGGAGCGGGGTGGGAGTGGGTGGGGGCGGATTGGAGCACAGAGGGTGATGAGGTCGGAAGGCAGGGGGGCCGGAGGGCAGTGCCAAATAGAGATACCGCCTTGTTGTACCTTGTTGTACGTTCCCGACTATCGCCGTCATGTAGGTTGGCACGTAGCCTACCCAGCTACCTAGCTCGCTGGCTACCTAGCTCGCTGGCTAGGTAGCTCGCTGGCTAGATAGCTCGCTCCGAATGTGCAAGCCAGGCTAAGGGCAGAGTAAGGGCCGTAGCATGTCATGCACGCACTTTACCTCCCCCCCGCATCCAGCCTCTAGCCGACAGTCCTTGGTGGCGGTGCTGGAGGAGGGTGCCGCCCGGAGGTGCCTGTGGTGCCTACAGTGCTGGGTATGCAGGTGTGCACATTTGTTTGTATGTCTGCATGTATGTTGGGTAGGTAGGTGAGTGAATGGGGGCGACCTACCCTAAGATTGTCTCTCGGGGGGAGAGGCGGAGCAGTTTGTACACACACTGTATCTATCTGCAGCTGGCGGCGTGTCCTTACGGCCGCTGATGTATTGGTACTGCTGATGTCTCGTACACCGCGTATCGTCATGATGATGATGATGCCCACGTACATCTCGGTACAAACCCCTACTTCGGTGCTAGCATAGCTAGCGGGCAACGTGAGACGCGGTGGTGGTGCTATGGAAAGGTACCCCGATTAGGTTGGTAGAGCAGCCGCAGCAGAACCCAGTTCGGGGTCTCCTCGCGCCGATACGGTCCCAGGTTAATGGCTGGGCGACGTCGTCTTCCGATGACCGTAATCCTAGCAGGAATCACCCAGATGGTGACCTCGGCCATTGATAGCCGCAAGCCGACGGTTTGATGACAACAGAATCAGACAGTCCTGTAAAAACATAAGGTGAATCGTTTTCAGCTGGTTATGTACAGCACGTGGTCTGGAGGACCAAAGAGTTCGAAGCAGTCCGCATCAGCAGATCGATTGCAAAACGATCATTTTTTTGGAATGAATGTGCGTGTGTGTGAAGGGGGTTTTAGCAGCAGTAGTATTGTGGCAGGAAACGTTATTACAGTCCAAGTAGTCTAAACCGATGTGGTGTCAATGTGCTGTATATGGTGAATGTATATGGCTACCTAATTCATCGTCGTCGAGTTTATTACTTGGTTCCCTTATGGGCACACCAGCAAAAAGGCTGCGGAACTGACTATCTGTGTGTGCAGGGGGAGAGAGAGGGGGGTGGAGAGGGGCCCCTTGGATTCGTTGCATCAGTCAGTGCCCCTTTTGGCTGCAGGCATGCCTGCATTCGCAGGAGCAGAATTTCAACCATTTAAGTAAATAATTTTTTTGAATGGGTACCCAGGTCGCCAATATCTTATAAGCTCGATGCTGGCGGTAGCTGGCCACGTGGGTCAGGAAGCGTTGCATGCATCCATGCACCGTTGTACGGCTGGCCGCTGCTAACGCTGCTGTTGCTTCTGGTATGAAGTGCGCGCGGTTGTGTGTTCTGCAGGAGACCGATGTGCGCCGCACAGCCTGCAGGGTGCCCGCTTATCGGAATGAGTGCGTGAAATGGCACCACACGGCAGGCATTGTGTATGTACGATGAGTCTGATAACCACCTACTTAACCCACCTACGGAGGCGTGACCCGCACGGGTTTGGATGCGAATGGATTTGTAAGCCTGATGCGTGTGATCCACCCATCACCCCCACACGGCACCCTCATATCCTTCTCATCTGCGCACCCACGTGTGCCGACCCTCGTAAAGCAAGTGGCTTTTCGGGTTTAGCACCCACCACCACCACCACCACCACCACACAATCACCACCACCACCATGACCAGCAGTCGGCACACCAAATGGAATCTCCCGCCTCGGATCAACGGCGGCACCAATGACACAATCCTCCGCTGCTGCTGGCCGGCTTGCAGGTCGAATCACTGTTTGAACCGGATTCTTCACCGTCATTGACACAATTGACATGATGTCGCATCCATCCGAAACCTCTGAGGTCTGACACGGGTTTCCTTCGAACGACCCAATATGCCCGCACATCCATTGCATCACACGCAACATGCAGAGCATTATGCACAGCCTCCCTCCCTCAATCTCCCGAACAACATGACCCCGCAGCAATCTTTAACGGCCTGTCGAGTCTACTGCCTCGTGCATGGCTGCTGCCGCTGTTTCCTCTGAAGGACCTAAAAGCCCCAACAGCCATTTTGAGAACGGCTCCTCCCAAGTTTCCGCCTGCTCGGCCACTGCCGCTGCTCCGGAACGAGACCTGCACACGCACGCGGTTAGCACGCAGTTCTTTCACTCCCACGTTTCCACCCTATGAGCTGTGACTGCTTCCGCTGGACGTCCTCCGTGTATAGTACAGTAGCCGATTCATAAGTTTCAGTGCTTCTACTTCTACTGGTATAATTATGGCTGGGCGCGCCTTCCGTTCTTTTCTTTTCCTCTCCTCCACCCTAAGGGGGCCCGCCCTCTCTCCACACTGTCGTAGCAAAATGATGGAGCTGGTTCCACCGTTGGCCGCGGGTTAAGAGTTAAGAGTTCGTTAGTCCAGGTTGGTTAGGTTCCCGCAGACCATGACCACCACCACCACCACCACCACACCCTTCTATGGCTGCAGCGAGCGGTCTACTCCTTACCTCAGGTTACTCAAATTTTGTCAACGTAGCAGAAGGCGTCGTACGCGGCAATCTCCCGGCGATGATCCTCGCCATAAAGGCCATACGGCTGCGCAATCGACGCCAAAAAGTCCCCAAACTTTGCATGTGCGTGCCTCTGCGCCACTTCAAAGTGCAGAAAGGCCTTATGCTCAATTTGCTTCTTCCTCTGCAGCACGTGCACCGGCGGCGGCTCGTACCACGGCACGCTGAACGACACCTCCTCCTTTTTCTCCTCCTCCTCTTCCGAATCCAAACAAATTAAATCCGTTTCCTCCTTCTCCTCCGTCGTCGTCACTGACTTCAACGAATCCGCTTTCGTCGCGTCGGCCTTTGCGGCCGCCGCTGCCGCAGCCGCTGCTGCTGCCGCCGCCCGCATCTCCAGCTCATGCGGCGGCGCCACGTTCATCAGCCTTCCTGGTTGTGGCTCGTAGGGTCTAGGTCGGTAGTCCGGTCTTGGCTCCATCTCCCACCACGGCTGCAGCTCCCAGTTCAGACCCAGATCCTCCAGCCCCAGCGCCAGCATGTCGTTCACCTCCAGACTGGCCGTCACCAGCTTACTGCGGGGTTGGGGGGGTTGGGGGGTGGGGGGAGTGGGGTTTTGGAATTATGTGCAAGAAGCAAAAGTTGGGGAGGTGTGTTAGGATGGAGGGTACTACTCGAATATGCCACTTGCTTTTGCCTTGAATACGCTCTCCCATTGGCGGTGGCGGTTGTGGAGGAGGGAAGATAAGGGGAAGGCAACGCAGCGTGCGAGAGAGGAAGACATGGACGATGGAAAGCAAGGGCGATACCCAGAATGTCTCTATTGAGAAAGGGAGAGAGAGAGGGGGGAGAGAGACGGAGTAGGTCATCTCCCTCCCCCTGCTCGGAATCCCCCCTATAGATAGATTCCCCCACCCCACCCCAATCCCACCGCATATTTCAAACCCCCACTCCACTCCACACCCAGACACGTCCTCCACTCCTACCGCTGCCGCTCCTCCTCCCGCGCTCTCGCCGCCGCCTCCGCCGCCGCACGCCGCCGCGTCACCGGGTCCAGCGTGTGCCCCTCACCCATGCTGCGCCAGTCGGTGGTGTACGACAACGGACCGCCGGAGACCTCGATGAAGTCGTTCAGTACGGGGATAGCGGAGCCGCCGGAGGCGGTGATGCTCTGTGGCGGGAGGGGAGGGGAGGGGGGAAAGATGAACCACAAACGAATGAAGCTGCTGCCAGGGCAAAAGTGTGTACCTACAGACGTAGAACTGGCCAAAAGGGAGGGGGGAGGGGGGAGAGAGAGAGACTCTCGGAGGGGGTCACCCCTGTGGTGAGGATGTGGGGGGGGTGTAGGATTAACAAGTCCTGGAACAACTGGAACAAAAAACATTCACCTCACCTCATTGGGCCGAAATGAAAACGAATGGGGAAATACATCTCACAACATCATGGGGGCGCGGGGCGGATGGGAGTGTAGTGGGGGCTGCCCTGGGGGTGGGGTGGGGGTGACGCGCACCTGCTTGTTGCCGCCACCACCGCCGCCACCACCACCGCCGCCGCCGCCGCCAGCATTATGCGAAGCGCTGGGACTAAGCAAGGAGCCGCTGAACATTTGCGCCACTGTCCGTACACCTTGCCGTACGCCGTTAACCCTCTCCATCTGCCCCGCCGCCGCCGCTGCCGCCGCCTCGCCATCGCCGGCAGAGTAGTAGTACGCCGTGTCATCTTCATCGCCGCCGCTGTCCCCAGCGGAACCGCCGCCGCCGCTGCCGCCGCCACCAAACGCTGTGTCGCCGCTCATGATGCCGCCGAGAGCCGGAATAGTTTCCGCCACAGTACGGAATGTCGTATCGCGTCCGTGATGCTCGTCCTTATGGTCAGTATCGACCATGACATCCAAGACCTGCCGCAAGCTACGGGACTGCATTCCGTACAGTTCCTCCGCCACCGCCGCCACGGTCATTGCCGTACTAGCGACGGCGGCCATGGCTGTGGGTCCGCCTGCTGGTGAACTCGGCATCCCGTCGCTCATGCCGCCGCTCATGCCGCCGTCGGTGCCCGCCGTGATCGTCCTGGCCACTGCAGTGCTTATTACGCCGCCGGCGCCGCCGCCGCCGCCGGCCGCCGTCACCGTTTGGACACCCGTGCCGCCGTGCCGCGAGGGCTCCGGGGAGAAGGTCGCGGAGATGAAGCCCGAGGGGACCCGCGACAGGGGCGTCTGGACCGCCGAGGCAGTCGGGGAGAGGGGTGCGCCGACCCGGGGGGGCAACGCCGTCTGGGAGGTCCGTACCTGTGGCCTGTTGGTGGGAGGCGGGGGGAAAGACGAACCACAAACGAGTGAAGCTGCTGCCAGGGCAAGAGTGTACCAGACGTAGAACTGGCTGTTGGCGGGACGGGGCCGGGGAGGGGAGGGGAGGACTGGACAGAGTGAGAAAGGGGTTATAAGTATATACACGACAGGATACATAAAATACATGCAAATGCTCACTCACCGAGGCGCATCATCTAGTTGGTAGTTGTTGTTGCGGGGCCCGGCTGCGCCGTCACCAGCGCCGCCGCTGGGGTTGCTCGTCCAGAAGAACAAAAACGCGGATTGTACGGCAGCCCACCGGCCCTGCTTGTCCTCCTCACCGTGGAGCAAGATGGGCCACACCTGCGAGTCCACCACCACCACAACCACCACGAGGGTTCGGTCCCCGTCGTTCTGCACTCCAACAGTAGCCCTGGCCTCCCCCCCCGGGTCGGCGGGCGGCCAAATGAACACGCACACGCCATACACACACACAGACGCACACACACTTGCTGTGTGGACGTGTGTGACTAGGGCTCTAGCCCAGGCAGGCATCGTCGTCGGATCGCAAAAAAACATTCGCCTTGGTTCTTATTTTACTATTTTACTCTTACTTTATAATGCGCTGATAGGCTCTGTTTCTTTGTACGAAAATCCTCAATATAAAAACTCATTTTATAAACCCTAGAAAGGACGACGACGCAGTATGAGAACGCAACGGTGTGGCTTCGTGTGAGGGGTATGAATCCGTCCGTGCTCGCCCAAAGGGAAGGGGCTCCGGCAGCGCAGTACAATGCAGTACAATGCAGCGTAACGCAGCACAACACAACATAAACAGCGCTCGCCATCGCCACAATCGCAGTGAGCAAGCATTGCAGTACAGCGCTCATTCCACGACAGCTAGCTCTCTTTATTACGGCAACGGCAACGGCATCACCTGGTACGGGGGACGAGCAAAGGCCTGGTCAAACGATACCAGCAGCCGCCCCGGCAGGTCGCTGATCGCTCCGCCCGCCACGTCGCCGCCGGCAACGCCAGCTGCAGCTGACCGTGCCGCTGTACCTGCACCGCCAGGCTGTAGCAGTGACGTCACGACGCGTTCAAAGAGGCCCGGACCGCCGCCATCCCTACCCCCGCCGCTACCGCCGCCTCCACGGCCGAAAGCGGGCAGTAGACTGGCGAAGAAGCCGCCGCTAGATGGGGCCTTATGGAAAGGTATGGCGGCAGACGCGTACGCTGCCACCGAGGCGCCGGACGAGGGACCGGCGCCGGCGCCTCCGCCAGCTGCGTCGCCGCCTGGTTCATGGTACGGCCGAGAACGTACGTCGTCGTCGTCATCCGAGGACAGCTCCAGCGGCAACGGAGCTGCCTCCGCCGGCAGGCCCGGGAACCTGGCGCCGCCGCCAGCAACAACTCCGCTGCCGCCACCGCTGCCGCTGCCGCCGGACGTCACAGACGGGGCTCCGCCGTCGCCGTCAGCTCCGCCGCCACCCAGCGCCGCCGCCGCCGCCTCCACCGTCGCCATTGCCGTCCAATCCGCTGACGCCCTGGCAAGCTCAACCCTCGATTGGGATCGCCGCCGCAGCGCCGCCGCCGCCGCTACTGCCGCCGACGGCGTCGGCGTCGCCGGCTCCCCTGCCGGGCCTGATAACCGCTCGCTCGGGCACCATGACACCGGCAACCTCGGCGTCCCCCCCGCCGCCGCCGCCGCCACCGCCTCCGCTTCCCCCATCCACAATTGCGCTCGCGACTGCGACCGCGATTGCACCCGTGACCGAGGCCGCGACGGCGGCGGCGACGGAGACCGCGGCGGCGGCGGCGGTGGCCGCAACGTGGTTTCGGAGTGAAGATACTGGTCTGTGTCCAGCTGCCAGAGGTGCGGCTGGTTGGGCTGTGGCACGAAGTTGCCCAGGAAGAGGTTTATGGCGTCTTGTTTCTCGGCGTCCATGTACGTGTTCGAGTATAACCGCCTGTGTTGCCACAACATCATTACAACATCATCATTACAACATCATCACGACAGGTTGGGGTTGGTTCTGGGATTGGGATCTTTTTCCCTGGGGGGGCCCGGAAAGACGGACTGCGGGAGTGTTACATCACGACCCATATCCAGAAAAGAACCGAGCGGTGGAAGCAGATCACGTGATATGGCCCCCCCCCACGTGATGTACACCGGGGGTTCCACCGGGGGGTGCAGCAGCACGGAGGGAACGCGCAGGTGTGTGTGTGTGTGTGTGGCGAAATGGGGCCAACGGGTCACAGGGCTCACAGCGCGTATGGAGTAAGAAACAAAACAAAATAATGGCGCTCCGGGAGGGGGGAGGGAGGGAGGGAGGGAGGGGGGGTGCTCTTAACACGGCAGCCACCTCCCAACACGAAGAACCTGGGTCTCATCCATGACCCCTACCTTACCTTACCTCCCTCCCTCCCTCCTTTCACCCATCCATCCATCCATCCATCCATCCATACATACATACTCACATACATACGTACATACATACATACATACATACGTACATACATACATACATACTCACATACATACGTACATACATACATACATACATACGTACATACATACATACATACTCACATACATACGTACGTACATACATACTCACTTAATGGACGTCACCAAGTCCTTGGACTGTGTCGCTGCCTCCCACTCGCCCTTCTTCCGCTGGAAGAATATGGTATGCGCCTCGCTGCCGCCGTACTGCAAGCTCAGCACGTGACCCATCGCCTCGTACAGCGCCATCAGCACGAAGGCCGCTGAGCTATCCGCGTCAATGTCCCGCACGTCGTGGAGCCCCAGCTTGTACAGCTGGCGACCGAATGCCACGAGACCGAACGCAAACTGCGCCACGTTGGTGCGATCCAAACAGTCGATGCAGTTCGTACGGAGCACGCCGGACTGCCATTGTACGGCGCTCAGGCCGCCAGCGCTGCCGGCGGAGCCGGACGCGCCGCCGCCGCTTTGGTTGTAGTAGTTGTATGCACGGGCGCGGATGCCGCCGCTATGGGAGAAATCCAGGGAGGGACGGCAGGAAGGGGAGGTGAGGCCTCCGCCGCCTCCGCCGCCGCCGCCACCAGCGGAAGCGGAAGCGGCGGCGGCAACAGCGGCGGCGAGGTGCGCGCTGTTGCCTATGTCGCCGGCCGCGCGGCGGAGCAGCCCGAAAGACGTACGGCCACTGGACCTGCCGCCACCGCCGCCACCGCCGCCGACGGCCACCGGCGATGCCAGGCCACTGGCTGCGGCCGGCGCCGCCGCCATGGCGCTGGACAATCGTACGGACCGAGCGTGGACGCGCGCCGGCGCACTGGGATTGTGTACGAACAGTCCCGTCATGTCGAGGCCTAGCCGGGTAATGGCGGCCATTTCGCTGAGGAGGTTGGATCCGCTCAGCTTGGCATGCTTGGCGAAGTCCCAGGGGCTGGGGTTCTTGAAGCCGAGTGGAGGTAGAGCCAGTGGAGTGGAGTGGAGTAGAGTGAACGCAGTGGGGGAAAACACACACCAACACACACACACACGCGCCGCACCGCGCCGCGCCGCGCCGCGCCGGAGGGGACCCAAATAACGTGTGGGGGAGGGGGGGGACCCGGGCAAGGAGAAGAGGCGGAGAGGAAGTTGCGAGGGTGGCTTACGGATGGACATACGGACATACGGAAGAGAATGGAGGAGGGACAGGAGGGGACATGCGCGCGCATACACCGCGGGAGAGTGTGTGTGGGGGGGTAACATGGCGGTCTAAGATAAAGGAGCGACAACAACAACAAGAACAAGAACAGCAGCAGTAGCAATTCGGCAAGAACAAGATTATCAGAGCAATTGTTTTGCGTTGGCCGTGAAAGGCGTGAAAGCCCGGACGGCACGGAGCGGGGCATCGAGGGGGGCTCTTCGATACACATGTTCAAGCTCACACAGCTCTTTTTTCAACACGAACACACACACACACCCGCTTACAGGCTTAACAAACACCCGCGTGGACGCCGCGCCGAACATCCTTACGTCCTAACCCTCAACGTTTGCATCCCCCCCAAAAACGCAGAGCGGCATACACACATACCTACCAGCACACACGCACATACATACATACATACATACATGCCTACATACATACATACGCACATGTAGACAATGTGTGGTCGGCTGCGGCCCCTCTGCGCATTCAGCTGCGCAATGGCCGCCGCCAGCTCCCGCCTCAACAGCACCTCCCGGGGCCGCCTCTCCTTGCTCTTCAGCAGGTTCAGCACCACCGCAGGGGCCCCGTAGCGCGACTCCAGGTCGGAGAAGTGCGCCTCAGTCACCTGATGACGGCGACGACGACGGCGACGATGATGATGCGATGATGATGCGATGATGCGATGGTGATCAAGAGGCATGTGCACAGGCGCAAAGGAAGGGTGGTGGGAAAGGGCAGGGGGCGAGGGGGAAGGGGGAGAAAGAAGTAGGACGCAGGAAGCACCACCACCACCACCATTACCATCACCACCACCAACGGATTAAGGGGTGAGGGGGTGTGTGTGGAGGGGGTGGAGCCAGGAGGGAGAGAGGGAGGGAAGGTAGTGGGGGTGACGAAGGGGGTGAAGATGGCAGTGGTGCTGCTGCTGCTGATAAGTCACAGGGCCCAACGGACACTGAGGCCCAGGGGGAGGCGGGGTTCACTCTCACGTCCCCCCTCCCACCGTTGCTAGGGATCTCAAGGACAAAGAGGTATGGTAACGTACTGCCGTACCGTCGTACCTCGTACAGCGGGTCGTACTGCTGGAGGATGATTTCGGGTTTGGGGCTCAGGGCCGTCAGCTGCTGCGACCAGAACAACGGCACCGACCCGCGAACCTGAAGTCGATGCGAGGGGGGGAGTGACGGGGGAGTGAGGGGGAGTGGGGGGGAGTGAGGGGGACACTGCTGCTGCTGATGATAATTACGATGCAAAAAGCAAAGAGCGGAACGCGGGGTGGGGGTTGCGGCGTGTGGTACGTGCATGCATGTACTACATTCCTGCACAGACACGCTCTCAACCCCCTCCTCTTACCCCCCTCCCTATTTCCCCCCTCTCACACTCGGGCCCTCTCCCCCGCTGCCTCCCCCTGCACCTTGCCTGGCACTTGCCTTTCTCCTCCTCTTCCCCATCCCCTTTCCCCCATCTTCTTCAACCTTCCCCTTCACCGCCTGCACCGGCCTGCACGGCACACAGTCTCATCACTTTCCTTTGCAACCACCCCCAGAAACCCCCCCTCCTCCTTACGCACACACAGACGCACACACAGACGCACACACACACACCTGTACGACGCTGGACAGCAGCGGTGTTCGTGTACGGTAGTCCACCCCCGCATCCACCACCTGCTCCGTCTCCACCTCGTTAGCCACCTTGCCCGCGTCGTTGAGTCCACGCTTGCGGAACCGGGTGCCGGCGAAGTGCCGGGAGCGCCGGGCTATCAGAGTCAACGTAAGCGGCCTGCCGTATACTGATTGGGGGGAGAGGCGGGAGGTGGGGGAAAAAGGCGAGGGAACCACGAGCGAGGGAGGTGGGGAGGGATGGGAGAGAGGGGAGGGGAGGGGAGGGGAAGACGAACCACGAACGAGTGAAGCTGATGCCGAGGAAAGAGGGAGGGGAGGAAGGTAGGTGGTCGCAGAAGTGAGTGCGCGGGTAAGTGGGCGGTGCCGCAGAGCAAAACAACACACTCGCTGACTGTTCAGAGGTGCAAGACACAGCTGTGCGTCTGTCTGTATGTATGTGCGTCGGTGTCGGTGTCGGTGGCGGTGACTGTTTACTACCTACGCCACACTCTCTCCCCCCCCCTCCCGACTCACTAGACAGTCGTCGCTGCTCCCAGAATCCGTGGATCAGCGGAACGGTCCAGCGGAGGCTGCCGCCCAGCGCCCGCCGCAAGGCTGACGTCAGATAGGCGTTCCATGTGAACATGCTGTCGTACACGGAAGAGGCGGAGGACGACACTGCAGCTGCCGGCCCGGCGCCGCCGCCGCTGCCGCCGCCGCCGCCAAAGGCTCCAGCCTGGATTGCGTCAGGTGTTGGTGTTTATGTTTATGTGGTGGCTAAGGTCCGGGTGGCGAGGGACAAACACCGACAGGCTACCCCCCTAGTTAGTTAGGCGTTTTAAAACCCCCAAACCCTGAATACCACTTCCTTCTTGGGCATCGAGATTAAACTTAGTGTGCGTGTACGACAACTTCCTCCTCTCAAGATCCCGGTGCTCCCGGTTTCACCCCCCCTCTGGCTCACAGAGTATACTCGCTAACACACATACATACATACACACGCACATACATACATACATACATACATACATACACACGCACATACATACACACACATACACACACATACACACGCACATACATACACACACATACACACGCACATACATACACACATACACACGCACATACATACACATACACACGCACATACACACGCACATACATACATACACACCTGCTGCTGCGCCATCCTGCAGTTCCTCTGGACCGTGTGCGCCAGGTTGTAGGTGTACGAGAAGTAAAAATGCTTGGTGAGGTCCATTCCCATGAGCAGCTTCACGTAGCTGCAGGGGGAGGGCGGCCACACCGCCGGGTGGGGGGGGGGGAGGGGGATCAACGAACAGGAACAAACAAATCGCGATGCGCCCAAAGAAGGGGCCCAAGGGGGTTGGGAAGGAGGGAGAGCGGAGAGGTTGTTACGAGTCACGGAGAGAGGGTAGGTAGGCAGGTAGGGGGGATCATAGCGCGTGAAAGCGCGCACGTGCACCGCGCACACCCCTCCCCTTCCCTCCCCTCCCCGCCAATATGCATACAGACACGCCTCTGCTTTCCCCCCGCGGCTATTTCCTTCCCCCTCCCTCTCCCTTTTCCCCTTTCCCCCCTCTCATCCCCAGCACCCACCGCTTCTCTGCTGCTCCGCTCATCTGCCCCGCCGCCCCGCCTCCCCCTCCCCCGCCGGCCCCTCCCCCTCCCGCTCCGCCCCCTCCCGCCGCTGCGCCCTGGTAGCCCGGGTGCAGCGGCACCAGGGCAGTGGCCGCCACCGTGTAGACCTTGTGCCCCCCACACAGGCTGCCCACGTGGGCCTTACGTGTCACCAGGAGCAGGTAGTACGTCTCAGTAAAGCGGAAGCAGCCGATGATGCCGCAACACTGGAGGGGGAAGGCGGGAATTATGGGGGGGGATGTAAGGGGGTTAAGGGGGTAGGGATGGGGGTAGAGGGAGGGGGGGAGATTATCTGCAACACGGTGGGGGGTTGGGGTTGGGGTTTGGGGGGATGGTTTGGAGGGATGGGTTTTGGGTGATTTGGGTTTGGAGAAATAGGAGGGAGAGATTGCTAGAGGCGGTTTTGGATGTGGGTCGCGTTCCTCCCAACCCAGGGCTCCGTACGGGGCTAGTACGTCATTTCCTTTCATTGAAATCAACAAAACAATAACAACAACAAAAGAAAACTCAGAATGACACAGACTTACGTCGGCAACCTGGAGACGTCTAGACGACCGCGTTCTTTTGCCTCCAGGTCCCCGATGCCCAAGACTACAAAATTGCCGTAATTGCCGTACCAAAAAAACCATAAGCCGCATACATTTCATCCCGTATCACCCACGCATGCATTGTACGTAAATGTGCACTATCCTTCAGGCGGGAGAGTGGGAAGGGAGGGGGTTACATCTCGTAGAAATGGCACGGTCACGGTCACGGTCACCGTCACGTCACTCACGTGTGTGACGAGCTGTAGTCCGCCCAAGTGGGCGTTAGCCATGTGGATCTGGGACAGCATGGCGCGGATCTCGTCCAAACTGTAACTGCCAACCACCTCGGCAACATCGAGTTGCGTGGGTTCCTGTTTGCTGATCTGCGAGTGCGGGGGGGGGATATTCGGGTTTTATTCCGCCTATTGGGGTATGTGTGTGTGTTTGTGTGTTTGTATTGGGGGGGAAGAACGGAAACGGCGGGGGGGGGGGGAAATGCGGACGGCTGTATTGTAGGGAAGGGGGGAACGTTGAGCGTGCGTCGGTGTGTGTGTGTGTGTGTGGAGGGGGCCCCGCGGGAGAGGGGCCGGGTTCCCTTTTTCCGTGGAGATTTTTGAGAACCTAGACTGGTAAACTCTCTGGACCCCCGTTCCCCTTTTTCGTGTGTTACTGAAGAGGACTATGAACATTTGAGTGCGGGGGGTGAGGAGAAGATGATTCATTACGTGATTGGGGGGTTCCCGCCCGTGCTGAAACCCACACGCACCAAACTCCCTGGTCACATAAGCAGGGTCCCCGCGGACCTAGGCCCTTGGGTCGCGCGCCAGAAAGAGGAGGGATGCCTTTTTTTGCGCGCAAAGAGATGCAGGCTGCGGAAGGGTTGGCCGGTCCTAGCAGCATGGGAGATTTTTGTCGCGAGGCGGCTTTGCTGCGCCGCAGCCGCGAACACGATCACAGGACATTGCTTCCAACGCCCCGTATTTGCGAATATTCCTTCTGAGTAGGCTGGTGGGCTTTCCTACTAACTCATCTACCGTGCTGGCACCTGCCGATCGGCGCCCTCCTCGCACAGCCTTTGAGCTTAGACCGCAAATTTCATCCTCGCTTCAGTCATAACCCACTGCTACGGATGCCCACCTTAAGAAGGGCAGCTGCTCCCCGCAGCTTGCAGTAACCAACGATGTAGAGCCGAGCCTTTGTCTGGTAGATGGAGAGCCTTTGGAATGGTATATCCTGGGCATCCATTTCACAGGCTTACGTGGACCGGGAAGTCCACGGCTAACCCTACTCACCGGAGTACATACATTACAGGGTTTTGGAAAAACATAGCTATGAACAGTGATATGCACGAAACAGACATCCTTCAATATAGCAAACAAGGGCTTCTGATTGTAGCAAAGCAAACACGAACAAATTACGTACAACAGCGGTCCCGGAGCCAAGTTTATGCTCCTAGTTTCATGCTTGCCTTGAGGCACTGTTGTTCCAGTTATTTGGCACACGTGCACATTGTATTAAAATGCAGGCCCTTCGTCGCTCCGCCAATGCTGTTTTGCCGGGCCTCCGCCGCATGGGCACGGCTACGGATGCTTCCGCCAATGCAGACAAGTACTGGGCTGCATTCTTTCCTAAGCCTCAGCTGACGGCCGAGCAAGTTAAGAAAAATGTTAGCAAGGAAATGGTTGGCTTCATGCTCCTGGGTAAGAGCTGTCAAGGCGCTCAGTTATATCACGGTTCTGCAGCTAATGGATTCTGGATAACTTATGGGCTTCAAACTTACAGCGGAACCGCTTCTGTCTCTACACGACGTTTCCGTCAGCAACGTGATTGCTTTGGCCCCCTGCTTCACAGGGCCGGTGGGAGCCGCTTTTATGCTCTACGACTTCTTTGTTGGTCTTGAGGAGGAGCACCACGTTACCATTCCACCGTAAGGACTTGATGTGACTTTGTACCGGCAGCCCGTCCGAAATGCGCTGCGAGGATTTTCCTTGCTATTCAGGCACTCTCCTCTGGGTGGATGGAAGTTTATCTGCAAGTGCTGGCCTGTCATGCGGTTGCTGACCTCGTTCCGGGATTGCAAGTTTCTCACTAGCGTTCAGTTCATAGGACTTAGTGACGTTTTGCTGGTTGCAACATGCGGTGTTGTTAAACGCCTTCAACTTTTGCCTCCATTCTTAATACGACTCCTCGCAGGTATCCATGGATGCGCATCCGGCGCGCGCCTGGCATGCCTTGGGGTGAGGACGGCCTCTTTGAGAATCACCCGCGCGTTGCCAAGGTCTGGCCCCCAGAGGAGGGGGAGGCGGAGAAGGGTCACCATTAAACTGCTACACAGGGCCCTTGCTGAGCTAGAGGAACCCTGCGAGGCAGGGCTAAATAGCAGCATGAAGGGTGGCACGGGACTGTTATTTCAGACGTGAACGGCTTACCAACCTGACCGGTGGCGTGACGAGCTTAGACAAAAGGATTGTGCCTCGCTTTAGAGGTGATGAGGGCTAAAGCTGTAGACATGCTTGTAGTAGCGTTGCGATGGGGGGTGGGCTAATGGGTTTGTGCTTGACAACAAGGCTAAGAGCCTTGCCCTGTGTGTCTCGATGTACGACGCGTTGACAGCAAAGCATGCGATGGGATGATGGGGGTGATGGGCAGAATGTGTATCATGAGTCGGGAAGCGGCTGCCCTGTGACGGCACTGCTTCAGGTTCCGCCGGGTTTTTAACGAGCGTGTGGAAGTGTGTGTATGTGCGCGTGTGAATCATTAGGCAGGCCGTCTTTGTATGAAAGTAAATTCGGTACCTCCTTAAGCTCCGCCTCCTTAAGCTCCGCAGCATATGCCCCGCTGATTCGGGCCGTTCAGCCAGGTTTAACAAGGCTGGGTCCTGCACAGGCCCGCCGGCCATCGGCCGCCTATGCACCACAGGCCGGCTGCACTCAGCATCTTGTTAACAATATACACCAGCAAAAGCGTCCAGATACGCTCCACATCCAGCCGCCCAATTAGCCCGTCAGGCTTTACAACAAAGTACGTGCGTACGGGAGATTGGCGCACAGATGAGTACGGGAGGGCTCCGTTGCAGAGGGGGTACGTATACAGAGAAGGTTAAACAGCGGTGCAATTCCGCTGGACCGGCTGGAATGGCTGCAGCCGAATGGCAACCCACTTGCTTTTGCAACATATGAGATCAAACGGTACAAGAACTATTACAACACTGAGATCAAGTAGTTCAACAACTGTGACAACAATTAACAGCGTCCCGGTTGGCGTGAGTGAGGGAGTGAGGCGCGCGCGGAGGAACAGACGGACGTAGAGCCGCGCGCCCCCCTCCTGCGCTGTGTTTCGGCCCCCGGTCAGGGCCCTGCGCGGTGCTCTCGGTCCTTTCTCGGGGCGAGAGCCGCCCACAGTGTAACACACCATCGACTATTACAACATGTGGGAGATCAAACAGTACAACAAAACTGTTACAACATACAGAGGGCCCAGTCAGCATGAAGAGGCTTCCCGACGCGAGGACAAGGTCCTGGCGCGTTAATTAAAAAACGCTGCTGCTGCTGCTGCTGCACAAAGGTTGGGTTATCTTGCTGTATCGTCTGCTTGCCAAGCACATGCACGTTGTATACAGCACATGAACGACCTGGCCGACGCTTACACGGACCTCACACACAGCTGCATTGCGTGGACCAGCTTGGGCAGGGTATCATGGATCTCGGGGAAGAGAAGGTTCCAGCTACAGCGACCTGGCATGGTGTAGTAGCTGGCCGCTGAAAAGGCCTCTCGAGATGCTGGTGGTGGTCGCGCTTCGCGCGTATTTGTAGAGCCATACTGTGTACCAGCTACTACACATGGTGCTTATAGGCGATTTGGCAGCCCTTGAGCCCTCGGCTCGTACTAGGGTGGTTTGCAGGTACGGGGAACGCACCCACGACCATGTAACAACAACAACAACACATGGCGAAGGAATGTAATGTCCTATTGTTAAGGCTAGGTAGCGTACTGTGCAGCTGCAGGTTATAAGGGGGCGAAGGCGCAAGATATTGTCCGAGCCCAGAGCGCTAAGTGGTCCTCTATCTGGCTCGTGTATGGGCTGGCTCGTTACACCTCGCTGAGGTGTAGCAAGCACGCACGCCGCACGCACGCACGCACATACTCAATATATAGGAGTACCACGAATACGTGTATGATATGCACAGCGCCCTCACACACGCCTCTGATCTCCGCTGCTTTCGTTTCAATAAGCACCTTCGATTTTTTTTTTTTTTGTGTGTGTGTGTGTGTGTGTGTGTGTGTGTGTGTGTGTGTGTGTTACATGGTTGGGGGTGCGTGACCCCATACCTGTAAAACTACCCATACGAGCCGAAGGCCCAAGGGCAATACTACAACGCCTAAAAGCCACGAAGGAAAGGAAAACACCGCACATCAGCCCAGACTAGCGTCCAAAGGGGGTAATTGAGTTTCGGTGAGCCCACATACGTTCCAACATCCTCGCCAGACGTGCTGGTTCCCATTTCATGGCCTCCAGCATGCTCTGTTGATGATCGAATCCCTCTTCAGCACGAATATCATCATAGGCTGGGCATTCCAATAAACACGTGTTTTTCATCCTCGATTCGGCTATTAGTACCACAACAGCGGCAAAACCGCTGCCCCCTGGGGACTTGCCCCTACTTGCCCCTTCGTGCTCTTTTTGCCTCCAAAGCCCAGCAACATAAACGAAACTGCATTAGCTTACTTTGTGCTAAACGAGGAATGAAAACCTTAGCATGTGTTGGCCACATGACGGCTGCGGCTCCCGAAAAGGGCAGCCCCATCCAGTGCTTATACTTCGCCACTTGCACACCTTCGATTTTCACCTGTGATCTGCCTCCAAAGGGCTATCTAAAGCTAGCAGTATTCAACATCGCGTAGTTCCCGATCAGCCTTGCACATTTGCTTGCATTATGCAACTTCTTCACGCAACCGCGTGCATCCACTTCGCATCGGCGTTTATCTAGGCTGCACGCGCACGCCAGAGGGTTGCAAAAACGGTCTAATCCCCCAATCCCGGGGGGTGGTAGTGGTCAGCCATCCCCCCATCCTGGCTGGGGTGACCGACTCCCATCTCCCATCTTAGGGGCCCGGTGCTAATCCCATCCTTTGAGACAGGTTTCCCATCCTGCCAGCCTGGGTCCCATCCCCAATCCTATGGCCAGGGTTTCCAATCCCATCCTGCAGCTGTGTTCCCCCAATCCTCATCCTGCCAGCCAGGGTCCCTTCCCAATCCCTTCGACCAGGGCCATCCCCATCCTGCAGCTGTGTTCAGATCCGAAAGCTGTCAGCCAGGGTCCCATCCCCATCCCTTGCCAGCTACAAACCTACTCCTTACGTTTACACAGGTGCTGTAATATCGGCTTTCTCTTTAGGCGTAAATCAGGGGAATGACCAGGGTTATTTCCTATTTCCGCGAGATATTTTTCTCTTGCTCTATGGCTTATTTCCTCTAGCGTCAAATTCCGCCCGGCTGTGTTCGTTCCGAAGCAGACTGAAGCGACAAACGCTCGTTGAAGCGGATCTCGACTGAGGAAGAACTCGCATCACAGAGGTCTACGTATCTAATTGCACACTGGCTGCTATTGCAAATCGCGCGTCCTAAGGGGGGAAGGACTGTTATGTTCGAAGGACGGCCACAGCAACAAATTATAATGCTGTGGTTAGAATGGCAGAACGTACAAGGGTGTTCTGTCAAAATGTCCATGGCTGGGAACGTGCACCATTGGTTCAGGTTCATAGCGCAGGAGTTCAGCTGCACATTCCGGCGCCAACATTCCACGTTGGGTGCGCCAAAGCGCTACGATAAACAACCTGATAACATTACATCAAGCCAGACAGTCCAATTGGAATGCTTTTGAGTCGACTTGGACT